CGTCACTTAACGTCACACAAACATCGATAAATTTACTGCATATAATCAAAGCATTTCTTTTTTATTTCTTATTTTATTATTACACTTGGTTAAAACAATTTAATCATAAAAACTACATAATTAATTTATACTTTATTGTTTGACGATAATTTCTGCTGAATGAAATGGTCTAATAATTGTCATTGTGACAAAAACAGACAAGTTGACAGGGTAAGATTATATTATGAATTGGAAGGTAAAACCTTTTTTTTTCTTTTTTTTGGATAAAATAAAAAGAAGACAAATTTGATTTTAAAGTTTAATATGTTCAGGTTTTGAACAATCTGGTCATATACATAAATTTGCTAGGGCTCTCTATATGAAAACTAATATAGGTCAATTAAATAAAAGTCCAAATAAACATACAATTATAATTGTAAATAAAGGAGAGAAAAATAATCAAGAGGTTAGAGAACTATACGAGGTTATTATTTGTAGATTTTGCTGGTTAAAATCAAAACTGAGTCTGAGAGGAAAATAATTAATGTAATTATGGAAGGAATAGGAAATTTGTCACACCACTCCTCGCCGTAACATGGCTTAAAAGTGATCAGAATAAATTCAAGGTTATGACAAATTGTTTTTGTACTTATAAAGGGGGGGGGGTCGCATTTCCAGATATCCAAAACCTAACCAAAGAATTTATTCTTGACAATTTACGTACGTTTCAAAATCTGTGTTAGTATTAATTCCATGCCCCGTTTCAATCACTTTTTATCATCGATGAACATAGTTTTTCATTTCTCATTTTTATCGGAGCATTTGACATGAAATGATTCTGAATTCACCTAAGCATATATTCTGTAACCTTTAATTGCATAGTTTGATTCCTTTTGTCATTTAGAGTGACCTTTTGAACTTATTATTCACAATGTTAAGTTGTATAAATCCAAGATTTCCTATATCAGTGGTATATTTGAATTTATTCGGACATTTCTTTTTGCTTTAAGAAAAAAAAATAGGATAACAATAGAAAGTATTAAATACTTGTGGTTAATTATTATAATTCAGTGAGAAGAAAATTGATTCAATTACTATGGAGCATTATCTTTAATTAGAAAGTTACTGACGTCCCAAAATTATTGATTCATTATTTAAATGAAAATTTATGAATCAATTAGTTATTTTTTTAATAATGAATAATTTAAATTTATGTATAATTTGACTTCTGTTTAGGTCAGTTTACTATTTTTTTTAATTACTACTATCTGAAATGACCTGCTTGAATATCTGGGCTGCTTGTTGCTGCCATCCAAATAGTTAAACGAGTTATCTGTTTCTTTGTTTTATCAGATCATTATGTCAATTAATTGCATAACCTATTCAGGTGCATTTTGAAAAATATTTACAACCTTTAGCTATACAAGCTACAAAAATTTACAAACAGTGATATTATAGTAGCTGGCAATATGGATTGAAATGAATGTATATTATTGAGATATGGACTTTTGAAATGTTAATATGTAACCGGTGATCACTCAATGTTTATCGTTAATATCGATCAAAAAATTAAGAAACGGAAACTCGCTGAAATACTCTGTGCTGAGAATTCTATCTTGTATCATTAATATAATATTGAATAAAGCTAATAATGAATAAAAAAAAGGTACCATATAAATGTATTATGAAAATTTCTTTGTTTTAGAAGTATTATATTTTAAGTTAGTTTTTTAATAATTTCCCTTAGTGAGCCTTATAGAATTAAACTATGTCCAAAAAATAAATTATCTAGATATTCATTAATTCATAAATTGTCTTACTTTCATGATAAACATTAACGCCGATCTATACAATATTCTTAGAAACATTCAATTGATCAGTTCTAGTATATTTGGTTTATAGATAGTGGTGGAGTGCAGTAGGTGAGTTCTATTCTGTTCGGAATTCATCAGTTGATGTTAACCGTGGAATTTACATCCAGTATCCATCACTCAGGGTGCATATATGGTTAATAAAGACTGATCATTTGCAAACTTTTATATCAACAACAAGAAAATGTAAAGCCTTACAAACCTAATAAACCAGTTAAAAAGTAGCATGTTTGCTATGGATTAGTTATGGGAATAAGATTAGTAGTAGTTCTATTTGAAAGACATGATTGATTCTGATCAGTTAATTCATAACTTGAACAGAAGTCTACTAATAATTTTGGTTGTGAAATGTTCTATATCTTCCTTGATTAGAATTCCAAGAAAATATGGATAGTTATACATTAAAGACATTGATATTTTCTAAAGCTCCTGTATCCGATTTAATCTAGTTTTTGTAAGTATATATTTCTGAGGAGCTATCTAATACTTTTTTAAAGCAAGAAGTCAGTTCATAAACAACATTATCAAATCTCCACAATGCACTACTTTGTATCGATATATTTCCGTAATAGAAACCAACATTTGTTTAAGAAAACTTAATACAAAATATCTTTTTCTTCAAACTAAAAATTGAAAACAATTATGTCAAACATTTAAATACTTGGCAAAATCAGATGAATTAATTACTGATTCAGTTGTAGACGGAAATAGGAATAAATGGATGTGATTGTTTTACCTTTTTTAAACAAGAAAATAATATGTATATTTTTTGTACGAAAACTATTTTTAATAAACAAACAAAAATTTGAATCAATTATTGATTAACTATTCACTTTTGCATACATAATAGAATAATATTTAGCGAGACTATAATTTGTGAATAGTCTTTGAGCGACACTAGAAAGATCTTGAGAATGTCAGTCCACATACAATGGCTAAATGAGTGTTATACACCAGTGTGAGGAATCAGGATTATTATTTACAGTTAGTAGTTAGGATTAAGATTTAGATTTAGGGTTTTCATCACGAACTGACATCCGCTAAAATCCCAAAACTCTATTTATTCGAATGAATGAATTTATTTCTCGCAATAATTCAAGACCTGTTATCGTACATCTGATTGATTCGTCCATAAATAATAGTCTCACCTAATCTTTTAAATGAGCATAAAATCAAAGTATTTTAATTTCGTTTATCTTTAGATATATGTGTAGGTGATTCGTTAATGACTGGTGTAAAAAGTCATGGAAACCTAGGTTTTGATAAACTATAGTTGATTAGGTTCACCATGAATTCTTGAAGTTTCAGTAGGAAGTTCTGATCTATGGAGTTTAACCATTTCGTGGGTGAAATAGTCATTATCAATAGGACTAGATTATACTGCGGTTTATCATAAATTAATTGAATATTAAAGCGTTAATCACTGAATTCTAATTCAGTAGTTTAATCATAACAAAAATTGAAGGTTTGGGATTAGATTCCTGATGAACTCATTATTACGGAGTTCCATGCCAGGATAAAGCAGTTATTGACTTTTTTCTAGTTTTTTTAATGGTACTTAAATTAATGTCAATCACTCACAAATTAGGCTAATCTACAAAAACTATCAATCAAATTACAAAATAATCGTTAAAATGATCGATATTAAAATAAAGGGAAACGGAAATATTTACTGACAAATTTACAGGGTAGAAACTGATGTCAGTGCTGAAGGTGGATGCATCATATTTATTAGAATATAAACATGACAAATTGTTTGAACGGTGACTAAATTATTGAAAAGGTTTATAAACTATGTTCGATTTTATTAGGTAAAGTTAAGATAATAACATAATGTATTATTAAGCTTTATACGATTGTATCATTTAATCCTTCGTATAAAAATTTTAATATTTGAATGAATGAAGAAAGGAGTACATAGAAAATCATTAATTTATTTATGATGAATAATAAAGCGATAAATGATTCCCATGTTTGCTAAAAAAATTATAAAGGTACTCTTGAGTGATTTAGTATATTCTGTCATCATAACTTTTCTTAAAGTAAGTTAATAAACAACCTGGTTAATAAATAAATAAATAAACTTGAGTTAGTTTTAATTTGGTTATTTATTCTCTGAAGAAGTGACTTGCACTAAGTCACGAAACGTTGGAAAATCTAATTTTTCTACTCATTGGGATATTACAAATATATTATTTATTTATAACAATCTACCCAATGTTCAATTTATTCGAAATTATCGAATAAAACCTTGGTAATCTGGTTAATGTCTAATTAAATTTGATCTAAAAAAACATATATTGACAAACGGATATAATGCAAGAATGAGTCCCTCAGAGAATAAAATAGCTTCACAAAGAAGTTAACTTATTCAACAGAAAGGAAGATTCTTATAATTTTCTCCATTATCGTTTACATATGTGATGAATGAATTTCAAAAATGATATCCAAGGTTATAACAGTATTTAGAACAAACTTATAAAGTACTAGCTAGTAACTGAAATATTTCAAATGACATATGGGATTGATAATCGTTTGACAGATATTTTTTCTTGTGTTTTTAATGAATGAATTCACAAGAAATGAATACAAATATATTGTACACATTACAATACTTTCTTTTACCTTATACAATACAACTATTAACTCAGAATTTATTCTCTTTCAAAATAATCACATTTATTGAGTAGAAACTAAAGGGTAAGTCAGTTTATACAGCATTATGATTATCACAGGAATAAGAAAACTGGATGTGAAGTCACTGATTTTTCAATGACTGGATAGAACTGCAATATATATATATATACATATATATATATATATATATATATATATATATATGCATTTTACTTCATTTTTAAGAGTACCTAGAAACAGATACATATGTTTTTTATACGAATTGGCTTATTGCTATAAGTTGTACGTGTGTTCATTTAGTTCATTTGCTCGTTTGTAAGTGTACTTACAAAATAGAGAATGGACAAGTACACGTATGTGTCTATATTTGTTATAAATGTTTGTATATTTTTTTATATGACCAAATGTTTATGGTTGTATGCCTGTAAGTATGTAAGTCTACACTCGACAGATATGAACACACACACAAAGAAATATATATATATATAAATTTCAGAAATAAGAATTTTCTTTACAACAGAAAAAACACAACTTTTCAACATTGAGGATTTATTTATTAGTTGAAATTAACTTTTGAGTTATGAATCCGTTATGTTAATAAAGTTGATCTTCTTTAAAAAAATGAACATTAATATATAAATATATAACACTGTAAAGAACATTATTAATTTACTCAATTATTTCAAATTGAAGAGATTCGACAAAGTACTTTAAAGAAGACATGAATAAAAAAAACCCATACACATTTTACTGTAACACAATTTACATTTTAGGATTTATAGTGAATAAATTAATTGAAAAAAAGACGAAATTTGGAATTAATCTCTACTATTTTGGATAATTTAGATCAGTATGTTAGTAATATGTGTTAGGTAATATTTTATATTTAATTCATAAATAAACATAAAAGGGTAATGTTATTCTTCATGGTGCTGGTTCACTGTGATAACATCTTTAACGAATGACAAGCAGAAGAGGAAGAAGCAAATGATAAACTTTGTCATTATCATACTTTATTGTTAATAATATGAATGACAAATCAGAATTAAATTTTATAGGTTTGAGGACAAATAAAAAGATTTCATTTAGAAGTTATCGTAATTTAAGTACTTGTTTACCGGATAATAACACTTCGATAAATCATGTTCAAGATTCAATCAATGTAAATTGTTATAATGATGAGAAATTTCAATTACCATATGTTCAAATGTCTAAATCAACTGAATCGATTGCCAGTACAAAACAAGAGAACAATTCATATATCACTTTAGAGACCGGAAAGAAATCGGCTGAAACTGCTGCTACCACTGTTACTACTACAATTAATAATAATAATAGCTCAATTATCGGAGTTCCTAGTATCAAACGGAATATATTAAGACGACAGCAATGCACAGTTGAACAATTAAAAATATCTGAGTAAGTTAACTAATTATCAGCTTAATAAAATCTTTGTTTCTTATCATGAGTAATTAATTTAACTGTACTGACGTGGTTATAGATAGATTCGATTTTTCAGTTAAACAAAAGAAAAAAAAGGAATAAAACTCTACATTATATAAGTGAATTTTAAAAATAATTTGACGCTAAAAAATACGGGGCAGTAAATCATATTGATTTATAGTATGCATTTAGTTTTCTATTAAGAAATATTGAATTTACTGAAATGATTTTGTCAAGTTTATGTACTATTGTTATTCAAGGTGATTTCCATAAAAAGAAGTTATATGAGTTGGAAAAAAGGATTTAAAACCAAGGCAATACTGTTTTATTATTATTTGAGATATATACAAAAGTATATTGTATTGATAGTAGAATTGAACTAAACAACTCATAGTACGCATCACACTTTTATGTTAATAAGCCTTAATCTTCCAATTCACATAAATGTATATTTAATTATCAATATTATAAATAATATATTACAACTATTCTAATAAATTCTTAATTTTTTTCTAATGTTTTATAAATCATATTGAACTGATAATTATTTTATGGATATGAATGCAAATAGAACCAATTTGGAATCCTGAGAAAGTTAAGGGAATCAGTTAAAATTATTATGATATTGCATAAGGAATAAAATGTGATCAGGAGTATATTTCGGTCCTAAACATATTGAGAAATAAATAGAAGATTGATTTATATGGTAGCGATTGATTCTAAATAGTACCGTTGAAAGATTTTTACTGATGATTTATTGTTTTCTGACTTTTAATACAGAAGCAAATGTTTTCTTATTGGACTCCACACAATACTTGATGATTTTATACATGCATAGAACAGTATATTTTAGTGGATCATATGTCACTCGGGGATTGTGCTTTGAAGTTTCCCATTCAGTTTGAACTATTATAGCTCTCATCTCTGTTAGGATAATATATCTTAATCTCCGAACTATAAAGACTATCATTGTACATTTTTGCTTGATACTTAGAAAACTTATTTTATATGATTACTCTGTCTATTCATTATTAAACTATAATTAGGCAGTTTCGTTTTATACATTTACTGAAACACATTATTACATTACAAATAATACAGAAAACTCAGATGGGGATTTTATATACACGAATGATATAAATTAAAGTTGACATATGCATAATGAAAGAGCTATTCTATATATAATCTATATAATAATGGTAGATAATAAAATTAACAAACAAGTTAATGGCTAAACAGGAAAATAGTACATTATATGACCTTGAATTGTAATGGATGTTAAAACTTTATTCCTAACTAGTATATATAAACCTAAACATATTACCCATTAATGAAAATTAGAAATTACTGCTTACAGCTAAAATATATTTGTCTATATCAACTTTTTACTTAAGGAAGACTAGTATGATGTACTATATTCTTTTATATTAAGTTTCAATGTTCAAGATGTAGTCTGGTCATTAATTCAAATAAACATATATCGTGGAACTTTGTTCTAATGTTAAGCGATTGTGGACAATCAACTTCAAGCTTTGTACGTAAGCTTAATATTAATTAGGTCTTTTAACTGAAAGGTAATATCTTCGCATGTAACACTGGATGTTGTGAGTTGAAATCTTGCATGAAATATCGATTTCATCAGAACTATCAAAAAATTGAATTCTAAAACATTTTATAGATTGAGCCCAACAACTTCACCAGTTATGTTTTTAGACTAAACAATATAGAATGAAATTACACTCAACTACTTAAGTGTAAAATATTTGAATGGGGTAATATTTATACACCCTTAAATTGTGTAGAGTTTTCATATAGTTATCGTAGAAAAAATCTTTCTTTAAACTTATTCTAATCTTTCAAGACATAAATTCAGTTTGTACTATCAGAATAAGCTTGGAATACTTGATAGTGTTTGTTGTTTTTAGTGAATAGAATAAACGAGATGCTGATACTATTGGTTGGTATAAAATGTTACATATCATTACGTGTGAGTGAAAATTACCATCATACAATCATTGTAAAAAAGAAATCAAAGTTACAATCCCAGATACGGTCATCAAAAATTTATATTGAGATGCATCACAAATGCTTATTTCAAGCTCACTGATAAAATCTACTGAAGATTTGATGAAATAGCAAGGAGTTCACAATTGTTTTCCATATTAGCTGCTATTTTTCTTGCTAAACTGAGAAACGGTCGATTTATACAGCTCGCAAAATGACCACCTTTCTAATTTTAGTATCAGAATGATAGATTAACTTAGCAATTCTACGTGTCCGACCAACAGATTCAAAAATATTATAAAGATTTACAAACACTTGCTTAGAAATATATTCTACTGACAATCTTTTATGTTCTTTATTCCAAAAATATGTATTTACTTTAAACATTGGTGATCCATTTACAGGTATCGTTACCAAGTTTCGACTTGATAATTTCAAATAAATTGAACATCGGGTAGATTGGTATAAGAAGATAATATATTTTTAGTATCCTGATGCGTAGAAAAATTAGATTTTCCGACGTTTCGTGACTCAGTGTAAGCCGCTTCATCAGAACATAAATAACTGAATCAAAATCAATCCAAGTTTTAAACTTAGATGGTGATTCATGGTTGATAACCACATTCCACTTATTAGTTATGTAATCTGAAAATTTATTTGAAAACACTCTTTTTCACAGATTTTTATCTTATTATAATGAGAATTTTCTTAAAAATTTCATTAATATATTAATTTTTGATAGTCAGTAGGTATGTGTACAGTGAATGAATCAAAAGACTGACTTGTAAGCATTGAATATATAAGTGACTAGTACCAGTAGATAACTCACTGGAGACAATGGTGGGTGTGTCGTTCAATTTCGTGGATTAGTTGAAGTTAGACATTAACTCCTTTGGATGCCGGCCGGCTCAGTCGTCTAGTGGTTAAGCGTTCGCGCGCGAGACTGATAGGTCCTGGGTTCGAATCTCAAGAGGAAGCATCGTGGATGCGCAATGCTAAGGAGTTCCACAATAGGATGAAACGGCTGTCCAGTGCTTACAGATTTTCCATCGTGGTCTCAACCATTAAAATATAAGTGACTGATGATCAAACGTGCAACTACAGTTTAAAAGATTAAAAATTGTGAATTTTAAAGTCAGCAAACGAATAATAGAAATGATCTCAAGTCCCAGTAAATGATAACATAGAAGTATGAGATCCATTCATTAGTATGTGGGTGATCATAATCACGTAGTCGCAAATTTACTATTCAAAATTATTGATCAGATTTAACTAAATCTATTGAAATGTGTATGCTCATATATCATTTGCATGGGTAAAAATTTGTGTATGTATGTGTATTCGTTTGTGTGTGTATGCAGAGAAACAGTCTATAAAGTTGATTTACCTACCATGGCCTTACTTTCCTTTATATTTTCGTATTTTTCTTAATGCTTTATTTTATTTTTGTCCTTCTATATTTTTGTGGTGTACATGAAATTTTATCATCAAATCTAAATATATTAGGTAGAACTCCCCAAATTCACTCACTGTATTATTCTTTTTATTATTACACGATCACCTTTTATCAGTTGCAGCACGCATTCACAATGATATTCTTCCCCTATCTACATGAAATATCATACAACAAACTTTAAATTCGTAGTTGTCTTTGATCTTAAGTCCCTGAAATATTCCATACTTCTGAATCAGTCTAAATATTCATTCAGTACAGAATATAGTATCAGATATAAGCGAACAATTAATGTTTTTGATATGATTGTCAATTAGTATGTACATTTATACTAATACATATAAGACCATAATTACATTTAATTTTTAACATTACCAAGTTTGTACAACACTTGAAAATAAGGTCATCAGAAAGAAAAAGTTTCCTTTGGAATATTATCCTTCTTCAAATATGAATTAATTGATTCATTCTGAACGAATCGGAAGTTTTTTTCAACGTTACTAATAACGAATAAACTTGAATAAAATAAAAATCATTAATCTATTTTCTACCAATAGAACCTTTGATTTAATTTAAACCAGACCATGATAGATCCTTCGGAAACTCCTATTGTGGGAATCACTAGCAGTGCGCATCCACGATGCTTCCTCTTGAGATTCGAACCCAGGACCTATCAGTCTCGCGCGCGAACGCTTAACCACTAGACGACTGAGCCGGCCGGCATCCAAAGGAGTTAATGTCTAACTTCAACTAATCCACGAAATTGAGCGGCACATTCACTATTGTCATCAGTGAGTTACTATCTCACAACAGATCCGGTTGAACTCCACTGGTCACTGCTTCTCACTAGAACTCTGGGAAATACCTCTTGGATACCGTCACCAGTGAGCATGTGTTGATGGTGGTCTAGCTTCAACTGATTCGTGATCTCAACCATTAGAAATTACTATAATATCCACAAAACCCCTTCTGATATTAATTATATATGTTAAGTATTTAGAAATAGGACTGAGTTCGGTTTAAGCGCAATTTCAACATATTCATATCATTTTGAGTATTTTAATTTGTTTTTTTATGTAAAATACATATGAATATAATTTAAATATATGATTACAAATACGCCGTTCAACCAATTTGTGTCATATGTATTTATTTAAACATATAAATATAAACAAAAGGGCAACAAAATATACATGTGTCACGCAAAGTAGTTATCACTTAGTTTGTGCACAAGGTTGGACGCTGGAAACAGGTGGTTTTCTTAGTAGGCCATTTCCCGAGTCCTTGACCTGGAAGTCTTATCCACAAGGCAGTGGGGCAACGTTGAGTGATATAAACCGAGGACAAAATGCTCGCACTAGATTTTAATGACCGCCACAAATTTTAAACATGACTCAGTTGTACTCGTCATTTTTGTTCATACTGTATGCTTGGAAGAAAGAAATTTCCTACTTGTATCAGATTATTTTCGTTACCAAGAAATAATCATCCTATGTGTCGATTAAAGGCACACTAAAAA